TTAGTTGATCTATATGCGGTAATGAAAAAGAATCTTTAGGACAAGCTTTATTTAGGTCAGTATAATCTACACAAACTCGCCACTTACCATTATTTTTAGGTACTACTACAGTATTAGCTAACCAATTCAGATACTTTACCTCGCGGATGGACCCAATTTTTAAAAGTTTTTGCACCTCATCTTGAATCACCTGATTTTTGAAAGATCCTTGCTTTCTTTTCTTTTGTTTGATAGGTGTGTATGATGGATCTTCGTTTAATTTGTAGGTCATCACTTCCGGAGGTATTCCTGTCATATCGGAATGGGACCAAGCGAAACAATCTACGTTTGTTTTTAAAAATTTAGTCAACTTACCTTTTCATTTCTTGGCTTAGGCTGGTCCCGATATAGACTTTCCTTTCAGGCCAGGGTGTGAATAGTACTACAGCTTCCAATTCCTCAATTGTTGTTTTGATGTTCTCATTTTTCCTCTAGTTCTTGAATAGTATCGGGCCTCGAATCTACATCTGTTTGCCCATCTTTAGTTTAGGTTCATATTGATGCGTCCTTAACTGCATTCTATGATTGCTATTTTTCGTCCCTTTTTGCGTTTGAGTCTGCCACGGAATTAATGCTTCGTGAAGCTTGTTGGCCATCACGGATTTGCCGTATCCCCCATCGCGATAGAATTTTGATAACTTGATGTAAGGTAGATGGAACAACGTCCATTTCATGAATCAATGGTCTGCCGAGAATCATATTGTAGGCCATATCCATTTCTACTACCTAAATTTTGTATCTTTGGCCACTCCTTCTACGAATGTGGTGAGTATTATCTCTCCTTTTGTTACGACGCTCGAGTTATCAAAACCGGACAATGTATGAGCCTTGGGTATCAGCTTATCATCATCTTGCATCTCATTTACCACTCTTAACAGAATGATATTCACGGAACTACCTGGATCAATCAAAACTCGTTTCACATTAATGTCATGTACAACTAAAGATATTACCAGTGCATCATTATGTGGGGTTAGCACGCCATCTGCATTTGTATCATCAAATGTAATACTATCTTCTTCCAAGACCGGTCGAACTCGTTTCCCGTGTGTAACTGTTATTTTTGACACCTTCCTCGCTGCCGTATAGGTTACGCCATTGATCTCTTCTCCTCCACTTATGACATTAACCGTCTTTTTTGGTGAAGGGGGTTTTGGGGGCTCCTGCCTATTTTTCATATATGTCTGCTTTCCCTTTTCACTAAATAATTCGGTTAAATATCCTTGTTTCAATAAATGTTCTACTTCACCTTGCAGCAATCTACAATCCGCCGTTTTGTGACCGTGATCGTTGTGAAATTCGCACCAAAAATCAGGTTTTCGCCTGTTCGGTTTTGATCTCATTTCTTTTGGCCAGCGTACCTTGTCTCCAATGCTCCTTAAAACAGCCACCAACTCGGATGTGCTAACATTAAAACTGTAACCCCCAATCTTTGCCTTCGAGCTTTTGTCATCACATCTTGCGTCTCTCGCGTGTTTCGTTCTTTTCCAAACCTTGATGATGAACTTGAATCTCTATCTCTTGATATATGATCGTACCTTGGGTTTTCCTATTTTGAACGTGAGTCTCTTTCTGCTGGTCCCATGTAAGGCTCGTACCTATTTTTTCTGGACCTTTTTTCAGTTTCAGCTCGCCTTGAACTTACCCTTTCATCGATGGTATCTTCTTCTATCCGTAACTTCGTGCTGTATCTATTTTAAACATCATTCCAATTTGTTGCTGGAAATTCTCCTAAACTCTCCTTGAGTCTCCTCGTGGCTTCTGAACTTTTTTCATTTAGATTGCTGGCAAATGCCATAGCTGCCCAATTATCTAGTACACGTGGCAACATCATCCTCTCACACTGGAATCTATCTACAAATTCCCTGAGCAGCTACGTATCTCCTTGCTTTATTTTGAAAATGTCCACCATTTTTTTCTCAACTTTTTGAGCTCCTGAGTGTGCTTTGATGAATGAATCTGCAAGTTCAGCAAAAGAATCTATAGAATTTTTGGGTAAAAGAGAATACCATGTTAATGCTCCCTTAGTGAGTGTTTCTCCGAATTTTTTGACCAGTACTGATTCAATTTCTTGCTTGGTCAAGTTGTTGCCTTTTACACCGGTTGTGAATGTTGTTACGTGATCCCGTGGATCAGTTATTCCATCATATTTCGGAATATCGGGCATCTTGAATTTCTTCGGAATTGGTAGAGGAGCAGCACTTGGCTTCCAAGGTTGTTGTGAGTATTTGTCCATATCTATTCCCTTGATTACAGGCGACACTCTTGGTATTTGCTCTATGCGGTCGCTCTGCTCCTTGAGCTATTTCTGCAAAGTTAGTACTAAATTTTGTAAATCTGAATTAGCTGGGTTACTTGACCCTCCATCACAAGATTCGCTAGGAGTTCCTCCACTGCCCGAGCTAACGAGTCCTGAGCGAGGATTTTCTAAGGTGTTGTTGTTTGGAGTTGATGTTGGCGGCACAACTGGCAGCTGGTTAGCGAAGGCCTTAAGAGCATTGCTGACCTGTTGAGCAATTAACTTTTTCAAAGCTTTATTAATAGCCTCATCATTTTCAAACTGATCATTCACATTTGACTGAGATCCATCAGGAGTTCCTTCTCGAGATTGTCGAGGAGAATTTCGTGGGGGATGGACCGAAGTTCCATCGCCTTGCTGATTCACCTGGTGTTGATGGTCTCCTTGATTGTTGTCATTGACATTCGACATGATTTATTTGACGAAAAAGTCAATTTAGAAAGTAATAGATTATCAGACTCCCGGCAACGGAACCAATTTGTTTAGCCAGAAAATAGGAATTTCGATCAAAGCTAAATTTTAGAAGAACTCGGGTTACTTATAATCAAATTTGGAACAAATAAGAAGAATTGATTTAAACGATAGCTGAGTAAAAGAAAGCAAAGTAAGTCAGTGTATTCCAATAATATTCTGTGTCCTTACAAATGTTATTTCTCTCCTTTTATAGCTATCTCTAAGTAATACGTTTCTTTTCTCTCATAATAAAGCCATTATGAGCAATTCATGACATTTAATGTAACGTTATAATTGGCAATCGTAACTGTTTCGTGAAGATTCTATAACGTTTTCCTTCGTTGATGCTCATTAATTAAGGATAATACGTATCTATACTTTTTGCTATCTAGGTTCATTCCTTCAATGCCTCTTCAAATTACCAAGAGGGCTGAGTACCTGTTCCTTCCTGTTTTCTTGAATCTCTGTCAGTGCCTGTTAAAGCTCGTGTCTCTTCAACTATCCTTTGCCAGTTGTCATTCTTTTATTAATCCACGTGTTTTGACATATCATCACATAATTAATTTAATATGTTAACTTGATTTTCCCCGATACACTAGCTACTAATGGGTAACAAATCTCTTATAAGTGCCCCCAATTGGTAAAGCCCCCATACATTGAACTTTAACTTAATATAGTCAAAATAGCAAATATAATGTGAAGGCAAATGATATTTTTACTTAATACGTACTAGTCAGAAAAGAGTAATTGTTTTTGGCTTACTACTCGGCGATCTCAATTAATTTGGATTCACATCATATAAGACCTATTAAAAAAAGGCAAAAACTATTCATTGTTACAATATCCGCATATGCTAATTTAAAATCTCGATTAGGGAATTTATATGCACAACCATTCTCCCCCTCCCCCCTCAAGAAAATAAAATAAAAAGCCATTCACTAAATTGCCGATGGAAAATGAGTTGACTGAGTAAACAAAGTGGGAATAAAAATCAATGAAAACAAACTAAAGCAAAAGGGGAAATGAATATTCTAAAGAGTTAGGCAGGGGCAAATGAGGAAAATGAGAGAACACTAACGGCTGAAGATTCGGTCGTTTCATGTATGTAATCTAAGAAGCAAAGACAAATGAATGCATGCTAAACATTAAACAACATTGAAGTCTTAGTATTAACTTCCGATATATAAATTTAAAAGATTTAATTTGTACATACTAATAGTGTAATATTTTGACATTATTATGTAATTTAATTTATTATAGCAACTAGCAAGTTATTGTATTATTTTTAAGGTAAATATTCTATTTACCATCAACAATTGTGATGAAATAAGTAAAATCCTTCAATCTTTAATCAGACATCCTGTGTTATACTTTTGCAATGAAAAAAATCATGGTAATTAGAATTCGAATGAGTCACGCCCCCAAACAAGTAATATAGTATTACATGTAGTTATCTCATTCCCCCAAACAAGTAAGTGTACTATTCCATGTAGTTATCTTTTATGTCAATTAACAGTATAATATTCTTTTACAGTGTAGTGTGATTGTGTAGAAGGTTAAACTCAAAAAAATAAAGAGCCCGTTTGACTTAGCTGATTTAGAGTAGCTAATAAGTATTAGGTATTGAAAAGAATTTTTAAGTGCTGGAACTGATTTAAAAAATAAGTAGTTACGTGTTTGAATAAAAGTGCTGAAATTAATAATAAACAGCTAAAGAATTGGGTATACGAAGAGTTTTGTTTTAAAAAAAAGTGTTTTAGGGATAAAATAGTAAATTTTTTGGTCAAACCTAAAGTGTTTATAAGCTGAAATTTGATAAGCTATGATAGACCAACTTATGGCTTTTGGCTTATTTTTGACTTATAAGCACTTTTAATTTTACCAAACGCGTAGATAAGCCAAAAAGTGTTTATAAACCAGTTTGACCAGCTTATAAGATTAGCCAAACACCCTCAAATGTTTACTCTTTTCCTTAATCTCAACCCTCATATAACAGTAGCCTGCAGATCTTGACAGTTGAATTTAGAAGGTACGAACAATCCTCCCAAGTGTACACGTGCTGGCGCTGCCCATTTTTTGGCTCTATTTCTCCCTCTCTCTCTCACATTTCATGCATGGAATTCTCCTACAGCTACAACACAGAGAGAGAGAGACGTTGGGGGGGGGGGGGGGGTTTGGGGGGGGGGTAGGGAAAGAGTCTTTGGTTTTCTGTTGTGATTTGTTCATTTAGTCTCCTGAATATTGGCTACTTTTATGGCCATTGCTGGTGACCCATCTGTTCAAAATTTGATTTTTCCAAATAGGATTCTTGAAATCCTGAATATTATAAGTAATTAAAAAGATCTCTCTCTCTCCTCTTTTTGTATGTGCCATAAAGAGATTACTTGAATATATATGGAATTTAAATAGTCTCCTTTAGCTGTGGGTCTGATCTTTTACTTCCTAAAACGTAGTATCATACTTGACCAATTTAATTCATCTGTATTACTTGAGCAATAGCCCACCACAGACTTGGTGATCTGTGTCACATCCCCATAAGCCAGATTTAACTTTTGCCAAAAAATTTCTCTTCTTTCCTTTGATCTTGGATTCTGCTTATCTTGGAACTATTTGGAGATTGTGACAGTGTGATATGATTTGATCTTCTACTAATTTGTTCACTTGATCTTAACTGTACTCTTTATTGGTTTCTTTGGAATTTGATTTGGTTTAACTCAAATGGAAGAAGATCAAGATATGAAGTTTGTGTGCAAGTTGTGTAACAAGAGATATCCATGTGGGAAGTCACTTGGGGGTCACATGAGGTCTCATGAATTTGAGGAAAATTTTGAAGCTAAATTGAAAAAGGTGCAATCTTGGAGTACTATTAATGGGAAGAATTTCAAAAGAGAGAATCAATCAAAGTTAGAACTTGGTGGTGTTTCTACTTATGGCCTAAGAGAGAATCCCAAGAAAACTTGGAGGGCTGAGGATTCTAACTCCCCTTTGCCTCAAGAAAAAGTTTGTCAGCAATGTGGAAAAGTGTTTCAATCAATGAAAGCCTTGTGTGGTCATATGGCTTGTCACTCAGAAAAAGATAAAGGGGGTTTGAATTTGAAAGATGATAACTCATGGAGTAGTGAGAGCAATTCAGATACTGAAGCTGAGGAGCTGTTGAGTCCTAAGTGCAGATCAAAGGCTAAGAGGTACAAAAAGATTATAGTTAAATCTTCTATTAGCAAGGTTAATAATAATTATAATTGTTCGTCGTCTGTGTCTGAGATTGATCATGAGCAAGAACAAGAAGAAGTAGCCAAGTGTTTGATGCTGTTGTCAAGGGATTCTGGGATTTGGAATGGTGTCAATTCAGTTGTGGAGTCTTCTGATAACAATTCTATTGTTTTAGAGACCAAATCATCATCTAATGACATGAGAAATGCTAGAAACAACAGTCTTAAATGTGTCTATAATCAAGGTGAACAACCTCGAACCATGAAAAAGGAAGATAGAAACCTGGAACGCGATATGTTGGATGCTGAAACTCAATCTGAGAACTCTGATTCCGATTACTTCTTAGGCGAAAATGGAAAAGTCGATTCAGATGGCTCTGTTGAAAGGTTCAGAGGAAATGGTAATTGCAAATGGAGTACCTCTAAACTGAGCCTTGGAGCTTGGTTAGACGAGCGTAGGAATGATGAGAAAAAGTGCTTAAACAGAACCAAAAGATATCTAACAGAGTCAAGGAAGGATTTGAGCACGAAATATGAACATGATGGTTATGGATTAACCTCAAATTTTGATAAATGTGAATCGAGAAAGGGAACAACGGATCGTCATAAGAAGAGAAAGTATGAGTGCTTGAACTGCAAGAAGACTTTTAGTTCTTATCAAGCTCTAGGTGGACACAGACCTTGCCACAAAAAGATCAATGACTATTCTGAATCAACATATGAAACTGGTGAGAATACTCTTGGTGCTGATAATGATACTAAATGCATTAACATTAGCAAGCATAAGGAGACATATAGCAACAAAAAACCAGCAGTTTCTACTCAAGATGTGCCTTATGAACCTGGGAAAAAGGTTAAACCAAAGAAATCCAAAGGACACAAATGCCCGTTTTGCCCTAGGATATTCAAGTCAGGCCAAGCTTTAGGAGGCCACAAAAGGTCACATTTTATTCATGCTAATGTCAGTGAGGAGAACTTCAATCAATCTTCAGCAGTCAAGCGAGAAGTTGCTGATTTACTTGATCTTAATCTTCCTGCTCCAGTTGATGATGAGGAAGATGAGCACGCTCGATTCATGTCTTGGTAGTTGGTTATAAACAAGAATAACATTTGCTGGTATGCCTGATTCACGTTCTCTTTGCTATGGTCAAGGCTGTCTGCAGATGTCAGACTTGCATTCTTTCTAATCTGTTGGCCTCACATTTCCTTCTAATTTTGGCATGTTACAATAACATGCTTACATTTTTGCAAGTTAATCATTCACTTTTTATGTTTTGGGACATTCAAGTTTAGATCAAAGTTTTGTTGTCTCTATGATTAATGTTTCCCTTTGTTTTGTCATTGAAGAAGCCAGAAGTCAGTTGTTTCCCTGGTTTAAGCTTTCTTGCTCAGTTGTGGGCTTGATTTTATTGGCCTCAGCACATTTGCTCCTCTCAATACCATCTTTTTTGGAATTTAATTTAACAAAGTCCTAGATATGGTCAGCCATATAAGAGTTCTGAGTAGATTTTGACGAATCCAGGATTTTAACATATACTTATATTTTTAATTGATAGTGTAGGTTCTAAAATATATATCTAACTTTATGTGCACACACGCAGACACGCACGCGTCTTAACATTTTTGTTGAATATAGGGAGTAATAGTTTTATCTTGCGATACTTATTTTTGACTGGTGTCTTCAGTTGTAATTTGTTAAGTTATTTCTTTATGAAAGAGCTGGCAGTATTTCCTGGAGAGATTTACTTATTGAAAAAGGAAATGCTCAAAAGTCAAGAGCTTTATTATGAAGCTAAGCTGCATTTTCCTTGTAGGAGTTCTGTTTGAGAACTAAACTTGTTGGTAATAGGCACTGGTGAATAGTAACTATCTTGCATTCCAATTGAAGTTATAATAGTGCTAGTTCAAAAGAAAATTTGTTATTATTATTTTTAAAAGTGAATTAGGGAGTCCGTCATGATAGTTATGTAATGTGATAACCCAACTTTTCTTCTCTTTGAATTTATTCTTTCTTTCTGTCTCAACACAAAAACAGAATAGAAGGCCGTTGGCCGTTTACTTTCTCAGAAGTACTTAAGCTGCAACTCACATGTCGTCTAGGCAACTTTGGAAGGTAGTGTCGTGACTAGCTAGGAAGTATTTTTTTCAGAGTTAATTTCAAGTATATCAGTAAAATTGCTATAACAGTAAAATTATAAAATTATATTTTGGCGCATTAAAGTTACCCCATATGACAGTAAAGTCAAGAATTTTCTTTTTTGTCACATTTAAAAAAAATTAAATTTTACCCACGACACATTTAAGTCATAGAATCCAAAAAATAGTTATGGGACTTTATTATCATGGTGGATAAAGTTCAGTGACTTTACTATTATAAGGTATTACTTAAACAACTACAACTCAATAAAATTCCAGAAGTGGGATCTGGGGAGGGTAGAGTTTACGCAAACTTTACCCCTACCCTGAAGGAGTAGAGAGGTTGTTTCTGGGAGACCCTCAAAAGACGAATAGAGACAATAGATCCTTACCAGCAACAATAACAACAACTAGAGAGATAATATCAACATTGTAATAGACAAAAAGTAGGTGGAAAGGCAATAACAAAAACCGATACTCATTACACAATACTATAAAAACGGAAAAATGGTGTGAACACAACCTATGCCACTATCAGTTCAAGACAACACTAGTAGAAAAATGCTCGACTACCCCCTACCCTTCAACCCTAATGCTCGACCTCCATACATCCTCAATCATATTCCTATCCAGCCTAGTGTGCCCGCACATCCATCTCAACATCCTCATTTCTGCTACTTCCAACTTCTGGATTTATGACTTCTTGATTGGCCAACACCCAATCCCATACAACGTGGCCAGTCTAACAACTGCTATATAGAACTTACCTTTAAGTTCTGGTGGCACATTCTTGTCACACAAGACTTCAGATGCTGACCTCCATTTTATCCATCCCGCCCTTACACGCAGGGGCGAATTTACATGGACCTAAGTGGTGTCACGGGAAACCGCTTCGTCGAAATTTTTTACTGCATATATATATATATATATAGAAATACAAGATAAAATCATTAAAAGTGACACCACTTGCATCGAAATAGCTCAATAGTCTAGCAGTTGACAACTTTAAAGTTTGATGTGAGAGGTCTTGGGTTCGAACTCCCTTGGCTCCACAAAATATTTTTTGACTGTTACGGGCCTATTGCTAGAAATAGTGACACCACTATGAAAAATCCTGCGTACGCCACTGCTTACATGGTGCGTGACATCCTCGTCGATCTCCCCATCCCCTTAGATAATTGACCTAAGGTACTTGAAACTTCCTTTCTCGTGGATACTCAAGCTCAACTACTTAAATGTGAGAAAATTTAATTTTATGACTTTACTGTTATAATGGATAAAATCAATGATCATATATAAAATTAACCTTATTTTACACCAAACACCACGAGTACTCTTCAGATTAGACACTATTAGTCATAGAAGTCATTCCAATAAAGTTACAGCAAAAAAAAAAATGTCTAGATTTCGAAATACGTTAGTAAATTTTAACTTGAACGTTTGTTTAACGTTTTAGTTCTTATATGTAGCTTTTACTCCTAAATCATTTACGTGAAAATTTAATATATAAGTAATGCATGATTAACTTATGCCGCAAGCGATGCATTAATTTGTGAAACAAAACATATCCAAAATAAAAGTTGGTACGTACTAACAATATATATGTACAAGAGCTAGTTCTTGAATTTATAACACAATTCCTGTATAACTGCTCCAATATTAGTAGCTACGGCTTAATAAGCGTTGTACTCCCCTATTGTTTTCCAATAACGATCTCCGTATTTTATTACCAGCATAATTACTGATGAAATCAAAAATTATTTCACAATCTGCAACTATTAGTTAAATAACATATTCTACAACATAAATATGATAAATGTATAAAAGTTATACCCTCAAATACGGTAGATTTCCTAATAATAGGAAACTGATTCTGAAAGTATCCCTTAATAATGCAATCTACAACTAAAAACAAACACCCAAAAATAAGCAATTATCTTTATTTAGGGTAACAGAAAGGAAATTAATACAGCTTGCAATCAATTATTTCCCAGAAACCTCCTTTTCCTTCGTTACCTTCTCAACCTATAAATCCACTTATATACAATTCAATTCCAATATATATCTCGTTCTCCTTCGTTTGATAGGGTATGTTTTTTTTTTCCTTTTTTTTTATTCTTAAAAGTGTAACTTCAGTCATTTAATACATAATAATGGCATATTGGCTCTGACCAAACTCCCCTTTTCAACAACAAAAAAGTTTCTCTGATTTTTTTTCTTTGCAAGTACCTTAGCTATGAGTCAATATTATCTCAAATATATATACACACAAACACAACATGTATATACCTTTTTATATTTGGAATAATATTTAACTCATATTATTTATATTTTATACATATAGTATACTTAATATATGTGACACTATATATTTTACATTTGAAGTAATATATCATATAATTTATTTACATATGTGTAGTATACACAATATATACACAATATATATCATTTATATTAGCATTAATATATACTAACATTTAATTCGTATGTTCATATACCAAATATATATTATTAGTATACTATAGTTATAGTATATATTTATATATTATTAGTATACTATATCTATGTATGTATATATATATATATATATATATATATATATATATATATATATA